ACCAGATGACGCCACAGCATCATCTCTGTCCTTTCGGAAGACAACATATTGACGCAAGAAACTTGTATTCTTGGATTTTAAGTGTGTTTCCTGTACACACAGCACTTTTGGAGAATGTTTGTGTAGAAGTTCTTGGACATCGTCGAGGTTTCGAAGTAGTCCTCTGACGTTCCATTGTATAATTTGTGTCTCCATTATGGGACTAAAGAAGTGCTGTGTGTACGAAATGAGTGTGGCTGGTGTCTAAAGAGAGAAGTGACTTATCTTACAGAGCCTTTAGAAGGCCCTGTAATTACCGTTTTGTCTTTTTTAGAGCGGTCGAGGGAACCCCGCCGCTCCTTTGGCGCAGTCTGCGCCGGTGCAGTTGATCTGTCCATCGCCTCAGGAGAGGCGACAGATAATGTTTTTGTTGTAGGCTTCGTCGTGACAGACGGAGCCTTAAACCCCACCGGGCTGGAGGTCGAGGGGACCTCTTTAGTTTGTGTGGTGCCCTGGCTGCTGCCAAGGTTCACAGGAGCCTTCGGTGGGGCTGTATTCAAGGAGGGTGGGGCAGCCGAGGCTGCTCCCCCCATGGGGGCTTGTGGCGTTTGCCTCGGCACGGTGGGCGTGGTCCAAGGTATTGCCGAAAACCGAAGTGGTGCTGACCCCCCTCGCACCACTTCGGCATACGATGTGTTCCCAGCAAAATGCGGGGAAACGCGCTGCCGCGCTTCACGGAAGCTTATGTTCAATTTAAACTTTGTACTAATAATTTCTTTTTCCATTTTCCAGGCCACGCATGACCTGGAATATGCAGGATGGTCACCCTCACAGTTTGCGCAGTGCACTTGTAGCTGACAGTCATCGTCAGCGGTATGACCTTTGGTGCCGCATTTCGCGCAGGTAATCTGTCCTCGGCAGCTCTGGGAGCCATGCCCGAACCTCTGACACTTAAAGCAGCGCCTCGGGTTGGGTATGTATGGTCTAACTGGCAGTTTAAGATATCATGTTGCTATTTCAGTTGGGAGGGTGCTAGATGCGAAAGTTAGTATGATGTGCTTCGTTGGGATTTCCTTATTTTCTCTTCTTATTTTGATACGCTGCACCTGAATGACGTTTTCCTCTTTCCAGCCTATTAAAAGTTCATCATCAGAGAGGTCCATCAGGTCTCCATCTGATACAACACCCTTCACTGTGTTCAAGGTTCGATGCGGTGTGATTGTGATAGGTTGATCCCCAAATGCTGTGAGTTTATGTAGTCTCTGGTACTGTGCGTTGTCTTTTAATTCAAGTAACAGGTCACCACTGGCAGTCTTTGTGGCCTTGTAGCCTGCGCCCAGCGTTTCTATGAGACATTTGGACACAAGGAAAGGTGAAATAGTTCTAGCTTCTTTTCTGTACTTTCACAGTGAATTATGTGGTATTTGGGGAAGTTGTCTTTTTTGTTTGGAACAAACTCAAAATTGCATCGGTGCGCCACCTCTTAGAGGGGCGATTAGTGTAAGAGGGCTAGGGGTTCCCATAAATTTGATAGCTTATTCGGTGGCCATGCCAGCCACCCACCACCGAGCCCAACAAGGGGACGCTGCGAGACGCGAAGGAGGCGCAGGCGCCAGCTGTACATGGCCGCTATAACCTAATATATCTACCCAAGGTTGGATATTTACACTAGGTTAACCCTTGCCGCCAGGAAAAATTGGAAGTAAAATGAAGTGAGGAGAAGACAGGAAAGATGTAAAGTGAGAACAAAAGACGAAGATGTAGGGAGAGAGAGATAGGAAAAGGCGACTGCCGATTTCCCCTGGGTGGGTCAGCCCAGGGGTGCCGTCTACGTGAAGCCGGGGCCAAAGGGGTGTGTTGCCTCTGCCGGGGGGCCTTCAAGGTCCAATCACCCAGCGTCGGCTCAACCCCCAGGATCCCCTTTTCCCCGGACACGGCAAAGCCACGCACGACTAGGCGTGGGAGGGAGTAGAAACTCCCCCGTTAGCTCGGGTCCGTGGTGTCGCTACACACCAAACTAAATGATTTATTTCAGGCACATAGTTGAGTCATGTGAATTATTATCATAAGTGATTTATTTCAGACACAGAGAGAGCGAGACTAAGACATAATGTCACAAAAACTATCTTTGTTTTTTTTTGCAAGCGAACAGGCTAAATGAATATTACCATTGCTTTTTTAGATGTAGTAACTAGGGAAGGAGAACAAAGGACGGACCAAGAGCACATATGACATACAAGAAAACCACAGCCTGTGATTTTACAGCTCAGAGAGTAATTTTTTATTTGCGTTTTTGAACTAGCTGAAAATACTCTTCATTAAAAATTTTGGGATTTTGTGCACTTCTACACGCTTGATCATACCTGGTAAGAAATTGCAGTAAATATTTGTTTTATTTTAGCGGTCAACGTGCAACATATGGCACTTTAAAGTCATCACTCCAGTTGCAACTTAGAACAACTATTTTTGTAATCAAATCCTTAAACACGTAAAAACCTGAATCCTAAAAAAGAGTGTTGCCACTTACTTTACTACCGTAAGCAACAGTTTTTAGAATATTTTGAAGCAAATTGCTGGTGCGTGTTTTCTAGCGCTCCGAGAAAAATGCAAAAATTGTTATACCATATATCAAATCAGTATATGCAAATAATAACAATATTACTAATAATAAATGTAATACTTTATTTGACGTGCTCAGGAACAACCATAAGATGTTTCCAAAGGGGCACGCAAAAATAAACCAATAAATTGAACAGTACAATACAGCTTTACTAAAATCATATAAGTAGAGCACAAACACACAGATAAAAAGAAATCAGTGCAAAATGAAAAGAATCAACGACACATGGAGTGTGATGAAATGGCAGAGAAAATAAAGGGCAATACACACAACTATGTAGAAGGGTTCCTGAAAAACGCAAAAGAGTAGAATCTCTACATTAAAAAAGTATCTTAAGGCAGTTCATAGTTGAGATACCCAACCATCCAGCGCGCCTCTCTTCTGCACGAAAGTCTGCATTTCCAAAGTCATCGCTCCAGCACAAGAAACGATACATTGCTCTTTCACCTGATGCCATTCATACGTGAACAACCACTTGGTTTTCTATCATGTGGCTCCTCAGGTGCTCCTTACTGTCGCTATTTGTGTCATAAGGACACCTTGTTCACGGTAGACCAGCTGACGCACGGGGAAAGTACCAAACAACACCATGACGACTCGAAGAGTGAAAATCGGTCTTGACGCATTGGAGCAGCTTACCCCCATTTCGCACACTTGGCCCACCTTCTTGTTTTCCATCACTTGGCTATTTCGTCCCGCCCACACGCACTACGGTCGGGATAGAGCTGCGGAACTCCGAATATACTCAGCCAAGCCCAGGGCCAACCGTCCACATTCATGCATCAGAACAGCTTATCTCCAAAGTTTCGGACACAGAGAAACAGCCCCAAGTAAAATCTGACCAAACCAATCCATTCGCAGTGTAGCCGTCGAGTTTCCACTCACCTCAGGATCAACTCTCAAGCACTGCCCTGTGCCAGGAACGCCCATTGGGAATGTCGTTGCAAGAGCCCCAGCAGATTTTTCTGTCAATTTTGGCACACTATCTTCATTGCCTGACATGAACTGCGACACCCTAACAAGTATCAACTATTTGCTGGTGACATGAACCTACAAAGAAAAGCAGGCTCATGTTTCTAAAGGAAGTTCACCTCGTCAGATAGTGCAACATCAGCAATGCCATCAAAATCAACAAGAAGAGGCCCAGCAGCTAAAACGACCACACCAACAAGGACAACGAAGAACTGAAGACACATCGTAAGCATACTTGCGGCCTAAAGAATGTCGTGAACAACGACCAACGCCACCACCACCACAATGACCGCTACAGAAAAGACTAATTCCGCATTTGAGCCATCTTCAAAAAGAAAAGCCAAGGAACTTTTCTGCACCAGCGTCCAAGATTGCGCTTTCGGTCTGAACATCTGCGCCATCGCCATAGAAAACTCCCTTAACACCACAAAACAACCGCTTCTACTCTGCAGGAACACAAGCAGTGCCCAATCAGCCGCGATCAACGGGCACGCAAACTGCATGCACGGCGTTTGTATCACTCACGACGAAAAATGCGACTCCAACAAAACTGTCGATCCTGCAAGGCATTGAAATCTCGTTCATTCCTCGCAAGAACGCCGGCTGCTTCTCCATCTGTTTGCACGCTCAAAGCATGCTTATGTTGTCCAGAGCGCAACAGCCAGCCTCGCCCACCAGAGCCGTACTTTGTAACCCTGGATTGCTGCCCTCTCCTGTGAAGTCCTTGTGCGATCTTGATTCAATGTGATGTGGAACTACAGCCCATTTGGACATTTTTTTTTGCGTTCTAAGATTGCGAATCCCGGCTGCATTTTTGATGGAGGTGAAAATGCTGTAGGCCCTTGTGCTCGGTTTTCAGCCCACGTTAAAGAATCACAGGTGGTCGAAATTTCCGGAGCCCTCCACTACGGCATCTCTCAAAGTCATATGCTGGTTTCAGGACGTTAAACAAACCCTACATATCAATCAATCAGCAATAGCAAACAGATTGTCTTTTACAGGGAAAGCTGTATAGGGTTAAGATAAACAAAGAAAAGTCCAGCAGTGGTGTCATGAGCTGTCTACATTGGCCGTGTACATATCAGTTGTGCCGTTTACAGTGTCATACCCAAGCACGCCGGAAACTGCGAGTGACGTTGCGAGTGACGTCGTTCATCCCGCCGCAGTCGGGGCGCCCAACACGCGCGCATCAGTTTCTTCTGAAACCTTCCGCATGGGTATGAAATGGATAACTCTAGAATGAATGAATGAAACCATGTTTATTCCACTTTGTTCGCGCCGAAGGCGCTGCGGTGGACAGTCAGGGCACTATAGCAGGGGGGGGGGGGTAGAGCTGCCTCCGTTTTATTACCGGACGTCATGGAGGCAGCTAAGTGGGGGCCGCTTGAATGGCTTGAATCTTGTGGCTGTCGCGGAGCCGGTCGCCAACCGGTGGCGCGGCCGGGTCCTGGAGGAACATGATGAGTGCTCGCCAGAACTCGATGGCGCGATCAGGGGGCGAAGGCTCCGGGCAGGCCCATGTCCGGAGAGAAGAAGGCCAGGGTCCCCGTTTTATGGTGGCCAGGGCACGGAGCCTAGGCGGGTTGTACACAGGGCACTCCCAGCACAAATGGTTGAGATCAGCCCGGCAGTTGCACGTGGAGCAGAGACCTGTCACGGGTGGTGGCGTGTCACCCCTGTGGAAACGGTTCAGCAAGAAAGGGGTAAGGAGTGTTCCTGCCTGAATTCTCCGAAGCAGGACAGACTCTCTCCGTGTGAATACCTTCGAAGGAAGCAATGGTATCGAGAGTGGATTACCCACTGCTGTGAGGTAGGCGGCGCGACGTTGTTTGGTAATGTGCTTATCTGCTATCGGATCTGCTAGCTCGGGTGGGGTAGCCAGAAAAGTGGAAGGAGTATCGGAAGCTCTGGCTAGCGCGGTGAGGAGATGAGCGCGCGCTAATCTGTGAGCCTTCTCGTTTCCGGGGATACCGCAATGCCCGGGGACCCAGTGGATGGTAACGTCATGACCACATTCGCGGAGCAGGCGCGTCTGGTGTCGGATCTTCTGGAGTACAGGATCTGTGTAAAGAACATTAGCGCATGCCCGATGGGCAGCCTGGGAATCAGTGTACACACGATGGTGAACAGGGTCAGTTTGAGGTGACATTTCGAGGGCCCACTCCAAATAATCTAAGATGCCCACTAGCTCTGCTCGAGTGCTATACATCGCATCTGCTGAAGCATGATAACGTCGGCTCTGCTTTCTGTTTGTCTGGTCGTACCACGCAGTGGCATAACAAGTGTTACTGGTACCGTCTGCAGGAAGTGCAGCGTCAGTGTATACGACGCGTTCAGTCATGGGGAGTGAACTCGTGGCCCTAGCATGTCTCTTGGCGTAGTTAAGGCGCCGTGCTCGCTGATTAGGGTCCATATTCAACGGAAGTGGCTGGATAACTCTAGAAGGGCATAAGCAGCGGAAACGTAGGTGAGCTCGCATTCACCGGGCCGAAGGTTCAGTCTGGACACAAAAAATTCACACCATCTTCCCAAAGGGAACCCTGATGAAATGCGAAGCAGCAGCGTTGCGCACGGGCGGCGTCACGGGCCGAACGGCACTAACGCGGGTGCTGCGGTCTGTGCTTCGTTTGAAGCGATGGCTGGCGTGTCAGGTTTATTGCGCGTGAACCGACAGGTCGGCATAGTGTAACGAGCGGCGGTAGCGGTAGCCGCGGGAGCTGCGGTGAGCTCATCGCCGGCGACAGAGAGAGTGACGTCAGCGCGCCCTGCAAGGGGAGCGTGATTTCAGCACAACTATGGTGAGGCTTCCTTGGCACCGCTTCAACACCTGCGCCGAGGGGAGCACGTTGCGACTAATTCAAGTAGACTCACGGAAGGAAAACGTTACACAGGCTTGTCAAAGAGCTTCTTCGCGTCTAGGACAGACCGGGGAGGCCACGGGCCGGCAGCAACTGCGTACCGATGATCCGGTAGCCTATCAAGCTGGGCTAAATTGCGAACAGTAATGCAAGTGCCTGTGGCTGGTGAATGCTGCAAACCACGCTGTCGAATCAGCTCCCGATGCCAAACGCTTGCAACAACAGGGTGTTGTGGCCTTAATGTGATGATTGCAGAAGCTCGTTTGCCAAGGTGAAGACACACTTTTGGCGGGAGTTACTCCAGCGGCAAATTGGCCTTGGCTGCAACGTCTCTTACCGCCTCTGGTTAGAGAACAAGCACTGTACTCGGCTTCTGACCCACCGGTCGCGGGATGAATTACCGGCTGTGGCGGCTGCATTTTTGATGGAGGCGAAAATGATGTAGGCCCATGTGCTCAGGTTCGGGTGCACGTTAAATAACCCCAAGTGTTCGAAATTCCCACAGGCCTCTAATACGGCGTCTCTCATATTTTACGGTGGTTTTAGGACATCAAACCCCAGATATCAATCAATCGAGAACAAGCACTGATCAACACAATGCGAGACGCATTTAACCACTCATTGCACTCTTCCACAACCATCATTATGCGAGGCACAATGTGTGGCATATGAAATAAGCACTGTTGTAAACCGAAGCCAAATGTGTGTCTAATCTCATTAAGAAACGCGAACATGTATTCAATAATTGTGAAAAGCTTCAGTGTCACATCGGTTTGAATCCACTGCTAAATACCGGCAGCTGCCGGCGCCTCCTAACCAAGAGCGCATTTTGGATTAGATGCGCTCCTTCTAACGTGGTGCCGCACCGTGCCGGCACCGTGCTTTATATTCTGCTAACAATACGCAATAGCCACATTTGTGCACTGAAGTCACACCAGGGGAGAGCAATCGCATTTCATCAATCATGCTCAATGTCATGACGCGCTGACGTTACTTCTTTTACCTGTGTCATTCCTTGATATACGCAACTGCCAGCGCACTCGCAGGTACTGGATGAGAAAACGTTTAAAGCGCAAGACAAATCCCTGTAACACCGCTCGTGTTCGATGCAATACGGATAATTTTCGAATAAATTCGTGAAGCAATAAACTCGGGTACTGAGGTCATTCGACGGTTAATAGAACAATGGTACATTACCTCAATAAGCCCAGTGCCTAAGCTCCGCTTATCTAAGCTATTTTTTCAGATATACTGAAAACATTCAAAGAGACATTTAGTCTGGGCTCATAAATATATAATGTCTGCGCTCACGTAAAAAAAAATTCACATACGTGTATTCAATTCTTGCACTACGCTCTGTGTTTCCGTCAGTTAACATATTCCTTTTACATGGGCGTTCCGAAGTAGAAATATAATACACAAATCCCGAGTAACCAACACCTAAATTACGTCATTATTGACTATTGGAAGCATGTGCACTAATTCTGAGAATCTATACACAACGGTCCAATACTTTACTGCAGGCCATTGACTGCATTATATTGCTGCCTCTTAGAGCTAAGCAGTGGTTCAGTATAACCAGCGCTTTGATGGCCAAAGGGCGAAGATACCGTTCTAGAAAGCTGCCATTATTGCCCTTTTTTGACGTTTTGTACTGAAGTATTACTAAAATAAGTTACGATCAGTTGAAGTACATGCAATATTTGCTGCCGAAAAGCCCTCGCTGAAACCTCACGCTGGCGTTCTCTGCAGTGAAGACTAGGCGAAGGCAAACTTAGTAGTACATCATGGTTGTTAATATGAAAACAAAATTCTCTTCTTGCAACAAAACCCACTCTTTTCAAACTTTCTGGGGGTCTTACTGATACAATATACTATGCAACAGTGCATAAGCCATATTTTTACTTGGGCCACTACATTGCGAAACTTAAGCCACAATATGAACCAAAATGCTGTTTTTGCCAGCTTAGTCACAATGTTTTGTCAATGTTTTTGCTTCATTTGCTTTTAATGCATTTAAATAATTTAAGATTGAAGATGTAAAACAGAGAATATAAACACATTAGTGGCAAAAAATTGCGTTTTTCGTAAAAATCGCCAAACATGCAGCCTATTGAAAATATTTTCTAAGGCGACAAAGAAAGTTCAAACCAAAATGAATAAACTAAAATCAAGAAAGAGTAGTACATTTAGATGAACGAAAACTTGTTTCGCCGCAATTACTGAAACCAGAAAGATAATATAAATTATTTAGCGTGCCACACATTCCCTTGAGTGACAAATGTTTGAAGTGCCTTCTAGGCAACACATTTTTTTGCACATTATAACACTTCAATAAATATATGTCACGTCGACATATATCTGACCAACTTTTTTTCAGCATGATCGAAGATGGTCGAAGATTGACCGAGTACACTTGCTGTGAAATGACTCATATATAAAATCAGACGCTTGCTTTTCGCTTGTCTTGGGCACTTCTATCTGGTTTTCTGTCTAAGAGTGTGTATGCGTTGATAAACACCCATTTTCTAGTCGCTGTTCTGCTGGACTAGGCAATTGCGCCATTGTTCTTGATGTTGGCGTAAACGTTAGCGGCGCTCACTATTTTCTTTAGAACAACCGACGCATGAACAAGGACGCGGGCATGGTAATTAATTACATTCAAACTATGTTATCACAAGCTTGCGGACCTCGGCTCTCCGTTTTGTGTCTGCTCAATCAGCATTTCGCTAATTCTGCACTAGAAACAATATACATAGAACTTGAGTAACAAATGAGCCAGCTGCAATCTGCATGCATGTCACAACGTTTAGGTTGAAATGTCGACAAGGTTCCTTTTTTTTCTTATTTGTTTTGAAAATTATATTGCTGCTTCTAACTGGAATATGAGCGGGTTGAGTATTGACGTAAGAAAAAAGAAAATGGAGAAAACAATGGAAGAAAAATATTATTGCGTTGAGAGCGGGCATCGTGCTTCAGCATTATTTGTAACAAAAGGTCGAGCAGCCACTTTCCATAGCCCACGATATAACAGAATAATGACCCAGAAAGACACGCGGCCGAAAGGCGATGTGTCTATAGACTTCTTCCATGATGATAAACAGTGGTCCTGCAGACTGAGGCGCTTGTAGCGACGTCGCGGCATGTCGGCTCCGCCATACCTAAAGCGCGCCAACACCATCTATGGTCACGTGACAGTTTTCGCATGATCATAGAGGGTGGTGGTGATCTTTGGGCTGGGTGGGCAGAGAGCATGCGTGCAACGACGCCGCTACAAGTGCCTCAGTATTACGAAGGGACCACCGTTTGCAAACATGGAATAGGTTCATACGCGATAACCAAGATTTGTTACGGGATATCGCTGGTGGACTAACTGGTACGCATGGACACGTCAGCAGTTTTGAAAGCACTTTCATTCACTGAATATTTTGAGGCAACTCTTAAGTGTCAAAAGTTGCTTTACCCGGCAATGATGTGGAAACAGTATTCCGAGGGCAGTTATTTCGCGGAATAGATAAGTTTTCTTCTGCCTTGTGCGCAAATGACAAGACCTATCGTGAGTCTCAATAGAATTTACTTGCGGCACTGTCTGTACGGTACTCACGGTTTCAAGGGCGACCTAGATGTTTTAGCAATAATTGGTATGCGCTGTTGCTCACAATAACAACTTCATGCAGCGGCGAATTTGGTTCCTAATATAATTTTGGGCCTCATAGATAGGTACGGTTTGAATTTATACTAATAGAATCCGCACTGAAGACGGCAAAATAAAAAGTGTGTGCATGCGTGGCTTTGCCTTAATCATGTCGTTTAAATCTGTGGTTGCTGTACAACTTTATTGCACTTCCCAAAAGAAAGAGAAAAAAAAAAACAGTCAAGCATACGAAAAACTATTTACATGAAAGGATTGTAAGTTTCCAACAGCTTGAATATACTCTAATGCATGTGTATGCTTATTTCATTGCATTTGAGCTACTGATCGGCTCAAAACGTACACATGGCCTCATAATTATTGAGCCAGCAATGCTTCGAAGGAGACTTTCTCTGATATGCCTTCCAGGTAGTCTGTTCGCTCGCTTTGTGTGTGTGTGTGTGTGTGTGTGTGTGTGTGTGTGTGTGTGTGTGTCTGCCTTAGGGCTTTTCCTAATAATAGAGAGTTTTAGTACTGCGTACGCTGCGTACGTGGCGGCGTTGCGTACGTAAGGACGCCACGTTCAGCGTAGTGCGCATGCGCAGACCGCAACGTGCACGTATCGCGTTACGTACGCAGCCGCTACGTACGCACGCATGAGATGCGTGCGTGCGTACGTATGAGCTGATCGCGCCGCTCTCGAACAAGTTCGCGACAGCGCGAGACTTCGTTTTGCAAAATGGCGGCATCGAAGGCAAGCACCGACCAGCTCTGTGGCTTAAAATATGGCCATAATCTGGCTATAACACTTGCATTGGCTCACAATGGCTGTCAACAACACGTGCTTCTGTTTTGATATACCAGAAGCCGCAACACGCTTCACGCTCGTTGCGTACGCGGGTACTACGGCGTACTAAAAGCCGATTAGTGGCAAACGACGCCACGTAACGCAAGGCGCTTGCGTGATGCGCACGTAGCACCATTTCGCAGTACTAAAACTCTCTATTAACAATACCTAGAGTTTAACGTTCCAAAACCACAATAAAATTTTTAAAACGTTGTAGTGAAGGGCACCAGAAATTTTGACAGGTTGGTTTTTTTTTTAAATGCGCTGAAATCCAAGCACACGGGCCTCAAATATTTTTACTTCGATTGAATGTGCAGCTGCTGCTGCCGGGATTTGATCACGCGACCTTCGGTTTAGCAGTCGAGTGCCATAACGGCTAGGCCAGCTCGCGGGGTGTTTCGGCTTCTCATATTTCAGCCAGACACTAGTTCCACGAGCACGTCGTTTTTCTCGTTCGGCAATGAAAAGCCCACCACCATGCTTATTGGCAGGGTCCCGAACATAACTGCAGCCACTAATGCCATTAGCCAACCCGTTCTTTACTTTTAAGGAAGTGTTATTTGATGGTATTTTATCACAGGGCGTACATATCAAGTCCATTCAGCGCTTCTCGCAATGAAAATAAAAGAAACAGGGCACAGTTCATTACATGTATTTTTAACATAAGAAAATTAAGAGTAAGAAGTCCCAGGTTATTCCAGAAAGGTTTTTTTTTGTACCAACGGACTTTCGAGAAGGTCATTGAACATGTTCACAAGGAGCTATGCACTAGCTACGCACATCTCGCATACACGCGAGACACACACCACTCATCATACAACATGCATGTTTCGCGACGTATTCGTCAGTTATAGTTGATATACGTACAGGGGTGCACCATCACTGTTAAAAAAAATGACTGCTTATAGTCCGTAGTTTGTTCCCATGTATTCAAAATTGGTGACTTTTGCCGCACGTTCGACCTGAATTCGGTTTCGGAAAAATATGCGCAGTCCTCCTCTAGCCTTTAGAATCACTTCGTACGTGATCCTCAGTTCACTTAATGGTCTTGTCGACTCGAGCGTGTACTTGCGCAGGAGCTTCGCCATAATCGTCTTTGCTTCCAACAGCGCGAAACGCTGACCTGTAAAAGACACAAAGGGCAACAATATTGCATCTTTTACTTTATCGCCACCTATGGTATGTGTGAAAACAAGCGTGCCTTGTTGCGAAGCGGTAAAATTTATTGCTTGAAGTCGTTTTTCTTTAGCATTTTGTGTCATCATGCGGATAGAACAGGCACAATTGTTATGCCCAGCACAAAAAAGTCTCTTTTAACTGTCTGGCCGTATGACGTTGGTTACGATGCAAAATACATCACCTACAGCAAAAGATAAGTGTAAATTATATTTCTTACACCCTACTTTACCTAACTCGACGATGCATACATCTCTCATGCGCATGCTAAGCTAGTGCGATGCGCAAAGGCAGCGTAACGGACCTTTAGCAAAAGAGATGAGTTCAAAGAGAAGCAAAAGAGAGGTGTTCAAATCTCCCTGAATACCATAATTTAGGCAAATAATTGCTAGATTAGTCAGATAAAACACCGGTTGCGTCTGAGGTGTTATCTTCAAACAAAAATATTGAGATGTCACTGAGGACCTGCCATAAAAACATGTATTTTTCTTGAACAATGATTGATTGATTAATATGTGGGGTTTACCGTCCCAAAACCACCATATGATTATGAGAGATGCCGTAGTGGAGAGCTCCGGAAATTTCGACCACCAGGGGTTCTTTAACGTGCACCCAAATCTGAGCACACGGGCCTACAACATTTCCGCCTCCATCGGAAATGCAGCCGCCGCAGCCGGAATTCGATCCCGCGACCTGTGGGTCAGCAGCCGAGTACCTTAGCCACTAGACCACCGTGGCGGGGCATTGTACAATGAACCAATGAAACAATTTTGAACCAGAGGCTACTGGAAGGATTGATCAGCTGAATCAGCTTATCCGTACGTTACCTCCTCTGTTTGTGTGGCAAGTACCCTTTCACTTGTTTTGCAGTGAGCTTTATTCTTGTACCATAAAGTAATGGTGATTTCTTGATATTCAATTTCATGTACTTTGTCAATTAAATGCACCCGGGTTTTCTCATGCATTGTAGCTGACATTCTTTGCACTACTGTCATTGACATTGACGTTGACATAATTGACATTGACGTTGACATTCTTTGCACTACTGGGCCGTTGTTCAATATATTTTAAAAGAGCATATAAATGGGAGTCAGCATAAAGCTGATAGTAATGCTGAAGTTGTGTGCATATATGTTACACGTGAAAAAGTCGTCACAGTCGCGACAGTTTACCTAGGCAGTTTTTGGGGCCCCCCGAGAACGGTATGTAGCTGAAAGGATGGCGATTCCGGACTTCTGGCGTCAAGAAACGTTCTGGGATGTAAAGTTCTGGGTCTTTGAAGTACTCGGGGTTGCGATGGAGGCTGTATATATTCACAAAACAGGTGACTCCCTTTGGAATCTTGTATCCATCTGAAATAATAAGAGTTTTTTGGTAAACATGGACGCGATATTTTTTTGTTGTTGTGCAAGATGGCAAATTTCTGACATGTTTTTGTTTTTGAAAGAGCTTATTGTATGCGTCATGTCAAATAATTAGGCAGCCAGACAACGTATTTACGTTTTGGTGGTAGGTTTAGTAGTAATAGGTTGCCCGATATTGAAGTAACTATAACGTCAGCAAACTTGATAAAAGCATGATGTGAGTTTTTGAGACACACACACTTCTTCGAACAACACATTTTGAACATGCCGGAAGGTGAACCTTTTAAGTGAAAAGGACACGCTTCGATACTAATACTCTTTTTTTTGTTATCATATGTGATGTTGCCAGAAAAATGCGGTAGTCAAGGTTACAGTGATTTATAATAAGTGAAACTTCTTTGAAATAAACAAGAACCAACCCTGTGCATTTGTTCAAAGTTTCTTCACAACAACGTATGTTATAAAACGTATTGGTTAGGATAACCAAGCCAATCGCATTTGTTCTTCAGCTGGAAAGCTGCTAATCAGTGGGCACGTCGGCTGGTCATCTTGTAGCACCATGTTCAAGCCGCTTCTTTTCTACGTGCAGATATTCCTGTGCGGTGCAACAGCAAAGGCCAGCGCACATCAAGATGCGACCAACTTTGTCATCAAAGAACGTAATGCTACTTCTGCGCAAGCGTCAGCCATAAACGACGAGGGTTGGGCTACACTGCTTCCAGCGCCATCAACGTCAATTCAAGTGAATAAAAGACGCCCCCCATCCCCGGTTTTCTTCAGTGGGCACGTCGGCTGGTCGTCTTGTAGCACCATGTTCAAGCCGCTTCTTTTCTACGTGCAGGTTAGTAACAAAGTATCATCTGTTAAAACTAGCAATCGTTATTTCGTCCAGCTGACGTGCCCACATAGCTTGTATACCTTGTATTGTGACATTAAGCAAGTGTTTTTGTCCCTACTGATGCTATGCGGGGACGTTGAATCCAATCCAGGACCCTCCACTGCGGAATTGTTGTCACAGTTGATTGAAGGTCAAAACAACATTAAAAAAGGCTTGATGATATCGAGCTGAAATTCAAAACTGCGGAGGAAACTTCTGAGATAATTAAAGGATTCAGCGATAAACTTCGCAGCCTGGAAAATACGGTTCAAGACCTAGAACGTAAGCTCGTTGATTTAGAGGACAGAAGCAGGCGTAACAACCGTGTTGTGTTCGGCATACCGGGAAAGAATGATGACGCCTCTGACGACCTCATGGATAGCGTAGTCTGCAATGTGTTCAGACATGCTTTAGACGTGAACGTAAACTCAGTCGAGCGAATTCATAGGCTAGGGCGAAGGCAGCATGGTAAAAATCGCCCAGTGATCGTGAAGTTTTTCGACCACAGGGAAAAAGTTAACGTTCTCAAACGTTGCTTCGAATTAAAAGGGAAGGGAATCTCAGTCTCGGAGGATTTCTCTGCAAGTACTCGGCACGTCAGGAAGTTACTATGGAACAGCACTTCAGATATTAGGAAATCTGGCACAAAGGTTAAACTTGTACACGACAAAATTAAGATTGACAATCGATTGCTAACATTAGATGAGGTTCAGCGTGGAATGGTCTCTGCGAGCAGACCGCTTACCAGAGCAACTCGCAACAAATGAAACGACAAGAACGGGAGACTTTTCCGATACCTAAATATCAACGCCCGTAGTATTCCAGCAAAAAGCGATGATTTAGACAGTGTTGTGTTAACGTATCACTCTCACCTCTTGATAATAACTGAAACCTGGCTTCGCACCGACGTTAGTGACGATGAGATTACGCCCCGGGGTTACCGCATCTATCGCAAAGATAGGAGTAGTCGAGGCGGCGGAGTTGCAATCATATTTAAGGAAACCTTACAAGTTGAAAGATTAGCCGATATACCAGATATTGAATGCGTAATTGTGAAAGCAGACACAGGCGATCTTAAGTTCATAGTCGGCGCTTTTTACCGCCCCCCCAGGCACAGACGAAGTATTCTTTGATAAGCTTAATGAATTTCTTTGCATGGTCCACAGTTGCTCTAGTGATATTATAGTTGGCGGTGATTTCAACGTTCCTTCAGTTATATGGGATACTGATTTTCCTGTACCATCTTTAAATGCAGCGAAACGTTTAGTCGATATAGTCCTTTTTCATGATTTAACTCAACTAGTTAAGCAACCAACCCGCGTACAGAATGCTACTGCTACAACTCTGGATCTTTTTTTCGTTAGCAACAGCATGCTGCGTCGTGTGGCAGACACCGATGTGCTTGATGGAATATCCGATCACAAATTGGTTTACATGTGCATTAATCCTAATGACGTTCCAAAAGGCAAGAGGGAAGAACGCGTGGTGTCTGTCTTCTCGCGCGCAAAAGACGTAGAAATACTGGACACATTAGACTTACATTTTTCTCGATTCACTTTACTTTCTGAATCTAGTACTTGTACTGTTAACAACCTTTGGTGTTTCTTCAAAAACCTTGTGTTGCAGTGCGTTCATGACTTTGTGCCAGAAAAAGTGAAAATAATAAAAAATGTTAGCCCATGGATTACTATGCCAGTTGTTCGTTTGGGGCGAAAGGCAAACAGGATAAGAAAACGGCATCGTCAGAACCCCACTACGTCGACCATGCTTAAACTCAGTAACGTGCGTAAAGAATTAAAAGACAGTATCAAGGAAGCAAAAGATCAGTACTATAACGTCACTTTAGAAAACTTCTTGCTGTCATCCCCAGCGAAATTCTGGCAGCATTTCGCCCCAAACAAGAAGCGTTTTCATAATATATGTGTTAATGGAACTATCGTAACTAATAAAAAAACTATTGCAGAATCTTTTAACACGTTTTTGTGTTCAGTGTTTACTGATGACGATGGAAGTAAACCATGTTCAAGAACGCTTCATGATATCCCATCAATAAGTGACCTTACAATATCTGAGGAAGGAATCTTGTCTCTACTTCTTAACATAGATCCCAAAAAGACGCCTGGTATTGATGGCATACCTAACGCGTTCCTTGTGAGGTATGCTGAATGGCGCTCGAAGTTTTTGTGCTTCATTTTTCAAAAGTCACTGTCACAGCGCGCGCTTCCAGATGAGTGGAAATTCGGAAAAATTATCCCTATACGCAAATCACCTAACACTTCTCTCGTCTCCGCCTACAGACCGATTTCTCTGCTTTGCTCATGTGCGAAGGTATTAGAACATATTATATTCAAGCATCTCTCAGTTTTTCTCGAGGAAAATAATTTAATCAATGACCGACAACACGGCTTTCGAAAAGGATTCTCAACCGTCACACAACTGTTGGAAACCGTTCATGACATTGCAGCTATTCTAGATAGGCAAGGCCAGGTTGACATGATTTTCCTAGACTTCGAAAAAGCATTTGATCGCGTGTCGCACCCAAAACTTCTCGCGAAACTTAAACCTATACTAAAAAACAGTACATTAACTTCATGGATTGAGGCCTACCTTTCTTATCGAAATCAAATAGTTTCTATAGATAACGTCCAGTCTGATGCACGACAAGTGAAATCGGGAATCCCTCAGGGCTCTGTGCTTGGGCCACTT